AGCTGATGCCAAATGCCTTCCTGTGGAGGCTGGGGAGAAGCTGCAGCCAGGCCAGGCTGGGAACGAGCCTTGCAGGGCATGATAGCAGCAGGGGGCTGTGCAGGGCACAGTGTGTCCAGATGGGTTGAGAAAGTCCCTGGCTGCTGAGTCTCAGGAGGAGGCTTAGGGGGACATGAACCCACCAGGCCCTTTCTGCAGTTCCTCCACAATTTGTTTCTGGATGTTGTTTGACTCCGGGAATTCCTTCTCTTCTATACGTTTGTCCTTGTCACTCGGAGGACCTCAACAGAAAACATTTCCATTTCCCAGTGGTTCCTACAAAACCAGTGCTCATCCTGTGGGGTCAGCAGGGAGACACTACTCACCCCTGCGATGGAAGTGGGGCTTCTGCACACTAATCAGCAAAGGAGCTGAGAAAGTCCTCTCTGCAGACACACCTGTAACTCAACAGCCACAGAAGCTTCTGTCACCTGGTCCCTGACAGTCTGTCAATGATTATTCCTTCATGGGACACTGAGAACATACCTGCAGGAGGCGCAGAGGACTTCAAAACTTTATGCAGCCAAGCTAATGGAGAAGCTTTGCCAGGAACCTCATCTGGAAGGGAGCACAGATGAGAACCTTTTACAGGGTGTTCTGGGATCCCCTTCAGCCTTAGAGAACTGGGCACTGCAAGAGGGCTGGGTAAGGCTGTGAGAGCCAGGTGTCAGTGGACAAGGCCAAAGCTGCAGAGAGGCCAGGGGAGCTGTAGGGTACCTCCTGGTCAGTATCAACAACCTTTCCATGCTCTGTGCAACATCCCTGAAGGGCAGGCACTGCCAAGCAGTAGAGATGGCAGCTCAAGCCTCAGCAGGGCTCAGGCCCAGAGGCACAGCAATTACCTTTTGTGTCTGGGCCTGTACTCATGTGTGCCATCCCATTCCTTCCTGCAGCAGAGGCTGCCGACGAGTGACCGCTGCCTGCAGGAAATGCTGCCTTCCACAGAACCTCTAGGTGCATGTCTTGAGAAAGAAAGGAGCCAGCTGGATCATATGGAACTGTTCCCCATTTGGGTGGTGGCATCTTCAGGACCCAGTATTT